TCAACGGTGATAGACAAATTTGGTCGCCGTCCACTACTGTTGATGGCTTTTACCGGTTGCCTCCTATGTAATGTATTGATTTTCGTTTTGATGTTCACTTATGGCAAATACGGTGTAAGTAGACGATCAGAATTTGTAAATCTAGAAATTATAACCCATGATATCAAAGAGTTTTAGCACAATGCATTGGGCTTTATTCTGATTTTTGTTATTTGTTTGTTCATCATTTTCTTCGCGATCGGACCCGGTCCACTTTGCTACTTTATCAATGCTGAACTCGTCGGTCAAGCAGCACGAAGCGGAGCCCAAAGCTGGGCGAGTGTCGTGCAGATGTTAAGGTAGGTTTGGTTGAAATGTTGTAACTTTAATGTAATTATGAGAGTCTTTTGAATGATAGCAAGCTATACTACAGTGAAATTACCTGTCATTACAAATGTATCAGGCATTTCTGAAAGTTTTTTCATGTAACTTTAATGTTTCGTATAATTCGGAACCAATCAGCTAACCACATTGCGTTTAAATCTTTGAGTCTTCTTTCATTCAACGAGTAGACTTCTTTTGCACCGATTTTTTTGTTATTAATTCCTTCAAGATTTTGGCATATATGTAGACGCAATTTCTAAGACGAATTGCTCGTCTAAAAGAACAAGCTGGTGACAGTTCTACTCTGAAAAAAGAAATTAGAAAATAAGCTGATCTACTCATTTAGTTAGTATCTGTATGTCCTCATTGAGGGCGCATAAGCATTTCTGCTTTAAAGATTCTACGGATTTATTATGAAGCCTTTCCAGTCGTTTCGTTATTGTTACCATTTTCTTACCGATGAGAAATACGATTGGTGATTCTTGGTCTTACCTGATCCTATTTGTTGCACCAGTGGCTGTTTCAATATTATTCCTCTACTTCAAACTACCGGAAACCAAGAATAAAACTCCAATTGAAGTAAGGTTTTATCCACATTTAAATGTGCTTTTCTTACTTCATTGATGAACCTGCTTTTTCTTCAGGTCGAGGCAGCTATGGACAAGCTTCCAACAATATATTCGATAAGATCAAGAGGAAAGGTTTCTTGTGTAAGCACAAAATGTTGATATGCTTTCGCGAAAGCAATATTACTAATGGGTTATAAACGCATAAACCTCCCTGTTTTGTTGCACTTCCGTAGTTACAGAAAATGCTGCTCCAATGCGGCAGTGATTACAACTACGTCACATTTTCTAGTTCAACAATATGTATTCAACAAAATGCCAATA